CCCCAAAACCCCAAAACCCCAAAACCCCAAAACCCCTGGTTTACATATAAGGGTTGACCAAATTAATAAAATAATCATAAACACAATGGGAAATAACCAATGCTGAACTATGAGAGCCAAAAGTAAGCTCTAATACTTCTCAAGACTAATTTTTCATAGAGGATGAAAAACCTGGAGCTAGAATCAATGAAAACAAATGTTTTGATCAAGTTCTGACCATAGAATGCTCAGCTGAAAAAGAAATGCTTGAGCCACTAGAGTAAGCCTAAGTTCGTATTTTCAGATTTCACTTTTAAACCATGAATATTTCTAAAGTATGCTCTAGAACTGCAATCCGATATTGAACTGAAGAATACGATGAAGATGACCTTCTTACCTTCATCGATACCTCAAAGGTTTATAAAAACCACGAAGAACTACCTTCAATATTGGTAAACCCAAATGCTGACTTAAAAAATAATATTTCTTTGGTCAAGAAGATGAAAAATTATTCTTCCACAAGAAGAAAGCATTTTTCTCCAAAGCTTGTTAGAGCCAGACGTTCTAAAAGCAATGTTTGCTGTAAACCACCTAAAAAAATAATAAAAGCAAGCCTTAAAGCCTCTAAGAAATCACGTAAAGTTTACAACAAATCTGAGAAATGCCAAGATTCTAAACCCTCAAGCATCAGAAGACTTAAAATGGAGAATATAGTTTCCTACTGAGATGAAGAATACTTTCCAACTTTAGAACAAAGCAAGCAGAAATCATTACCCAAGAAAGCCTTGAAGCTCAAGGAGGAGTATAACTGCTCTCTTGATGACGAAAGTGTTTCATCAGTTAGTATCAGCACTCCTTAAAAACCAACAAGTATATTACAAGTCATCCTTTAAAAAGTTGCCAATATTCTTCCCCAAATGAGTAATTACCTACCAATTCACAAGTATCTTTTACTTAGATTGAAGAGATTAGAGACTTATATATATGGACTAGGTTTTAGACACATCTAAAAGCAATCAAAACTCTTGAAAACAAGAATCTCAAAATTCTCAAATGATTTTAGATACACACCTCTATACCCTCTTTTACCTTCCTATTCCCACAAGAAGCTGTTCGTCCCCATTAAAATTTGCTTCACCTCCATCCTTACAACATTCCAAGAGCCTATTCCAAACTCTTCAAAAATAACAATAAACGGTTTATCTAAAACCTCTGATTTTCATAACTTAAACCAAAATTCCTGCCAAATTCTTAAATCTCTTAATAATTCATAAAAAACAGCGAAATTTCTAAAACTTCAAAATAATTTTTTATGAACCTTGCTCAGTCCTTTAAGTAAAAAACCGATTTTTCTCAATAATTCAACCTACTTCCTCAGCGAGGGGTTTTGGGGTTTTGGGGTTTTGGGGTTTTGGGG